GTGCCCTCTCCCTTCAGGGGCACGCCTGGCCTGTGGGCCACTCCTTGAATGAAAATACTTACCTGTCAGTTTGGAGGAGCTTTGAATACCACAGGTCGTGTGAGAACTGGCCTCTTTCCTGCCTGTGGTCCTCATAACTAACGGGCCTTGTTGGCTTGGCTGTCAGCAGTAGGATGCCTGCTGGCCTGGGCACAGGCCCACTGGGAGGGAGCTGGCAGTCAGCAGGTCTGAGAGGTGGCCAGGACTCTTGCCTCTGTCCCAGGTGGGTGTCCAGTCTCACAGTACACCTCTCTGTAGGGGCAGAAGCGTCTGGTGCTCTCTGAAAGCTGTTCCCGGGACTCCATGAGCAGCCAGCCCAGCTGCACGGTGCTGAACTACTCGTACGGGGTGAATGCCTGGAAGTCCTGGGTGCAAGCCAAGTATGCAGGGGGAGAGACCAGCAAGGGAGAGGAGCTACGCTTCGGCCGTAAGTGCCTTGTCTAGATGGGATGGAGCGGCAGAAACCTCCCAGAAGCTGGGTCCCAGCATGTTGAGTTGCTCCATGCAGGCTGTTGTCTGAGGCTGGTGTGCTTGTCTCCACAGCCAAGCCCATGAGGATCAAGGAAGACATCTTGGCCTGCACAGCAGCTGAGCTCAACTACGGCCTGGCCCAGTTTGTCAAGGAGATAACACGGCCCAATGGGGAGCGCTACGAACCGGACAGCATCTATTACCTCTGCCTTGGCATCCAGCAGGTGAGGGAGGGCTTGCTGCCCTCAAGGCCTCCACAGCCAGACTTGGGGTCAGATCTGGTGAGGGGAGCGTGTATCCTTTATTCCACCTTCTGAGGACCCAAAGAGGCTCACTGGACTCTTCTGCAGTGCCTCACCCCAGGACAGCAGCCCACCTAGTTTGATCTTTGTTCGCAAGTGCAGTGGGTAGGGTGGCAGCTCTTCCTCAGCCTCGCACCCTTCTTGCGCATCCTTGAGGAAGGTTGGGAAATCTCCCCAGACTCGATCCCTTTTTCAGCACCAAGTCTGCTTTGTCATGCCCTGGGGTTTTCCTCACAGCTCTCAGAAGTGCCTGGTTTTAGGAGCCTGTCTGGCAGCTCTGGTTGCACAAGAAAGGATGCTCTGCGTGTGTGCCCTGGGCTCTCTGGGGAGGGTTTGTGTTCCAGGTGCTGTCACATCTCTCATGACTGTGTTTTCTGTCCTTTCCAGTACCTGCTCGAGAACAATCGTATGGTGAATATATTTACAGACCTATACTACCTGACCTTCGTGCAGGAGCTGAACAAGTCCCTGAGCGGCTGGCAACCCACAGTCTTACCAAATAGTACGTGTCTCTGGAGTACCTTCAGTCACTGCGCGTACCTTTGATCCTCCAGTCTGCTTGTGCTACCCCAGCCTTGACCCTCTGCCCCAGCACAGGCAGCATGGTCCTGCTGCATCTTGGGGTCACAGTGACCCATACCAAGAGTAGAGCCAGCCTGCTTTTACACCTCAGCAGCTTCTGTTGCTCGAAGTCAGAGTAACTGGAAGCAGAGCACGGCTGCTTCGCGTCCTGGGACAATTTGAATCTTTACAACACTTCACAGTGATGTCTCCACTCTTTGGCTAAGAGGATACCAAGCCAGGAGGTGTGCAGGCCCATGTCTTTGTGTTCCCAGCATGTAGGCGAGACCAGCACGCTGTGCTAAGTGTTGACCAGGGTTAGTGTGCTACTCCCTTATGAGCAGACTGACCTGGAGCTCTGCAGAGGCTTTTTGGGATGCTGTGACCGGGGCTGCCCTCCCTGCTGTGTCTTGGCAGTGATAGGTTCACAGATCCAGCTCACCTCTGCACTATTGGCTGTCCCAGGCAGAGCCATTTGGCTCCAGACCTGTGTGTCTAGGCAGGAGCTGTTGATGTCTGTCCTTCCTGCTGCTTTGCCTTCATCTCACGCTGAATGTGATGGAGCACTGACCTGGAGTTTACTTTGTGGCCATCTATAGGAATTAGTGGTTAGGATTGATTTGAGTTCTGGCCTGTGGTTTGGCTGTGCTCTGGAGTGGTTCGTGGCTGGGCACAGGCAGCGTCTGGCTCTGCTGATGGCTCTGGAGAAGTAACTTCATGAAAAAGGGGATGTTGTGAAGTGTCAGTCTTTTGCAGTGAGCTTGCCTGGGCAGGGTGAAGGGGTTGTCACAAGAAGGCCACTGTTGACGTGACCTGGTTCTTCCTCTGTGCGTTGCAGACACAGTTTTCTCACGTGTTGAGGAGGAGCACCTCTGGGAGTGCAAGCAGTTGGGTGTTTACTCACCTTTCGTGCTCCTCAACACTCTCATGTTCTTCAACACCAAGTTCTTCGGGCTGCAGACAGCAGAGGAGCACATGCAGCTTTCATTCACCAACGTGGTGCGCCAGTCCCGTAAGTGCACCACAGCCCGTGGCATGACAAAGGTGGTGAGCATCCGCTACTACGCTCCTGCCAAGCAGAAGAAAGGCCGAGGTAGGGTCTGACGGAGCATCTCTCTGTCCCTCCCCCTGCCTTCCCCGTCAGGGTCCAGCTATGATCCTGCTCTTTTCCCCCTCCGCAGATGGCAGCTCTGGAAAGCGGAAACGTGAGGACGAGGTGCCAATGCTGGAGCAGCGGGAGAACAGGATGAACCCACTCCGATGTCCAGTCAAGTTCTATGAGTTTTATCTCTCCAAATGGTGAGGCTTCCTTTGGATGAAGGGGCGTTGTGGGGCCTCCCCTCGGTTTTGGTGGGATCACGTAGCATGACTGCTGCTCTCCAAATGTTTGTACTTGAGTGTGAAGCCTTGCCAAGGGTCTGTGCTGCTTGTATGGACCATGGTTGAGAAAATGCTTCTCTCTGGCCCCTTGCACTACTTGCCTCACTCCAAACAGGCAATGGTGTGCAATGAGTCCTGGTGCTTGGCTGGTTAGGGGCTTTGATCGTGAGCAGGGAGCTGCAGACTCTGTATCCTCATCCTCCCAAAGGATGAGAGGCTGTGATAAGCCTTGATCCCCCCTTCAATAACCACGAGACCCTGGAGCTGATATCCCAGAGCTCACCTTCCTCTCTCTTTACAGTCCTGAGAGTCTGCGGAACCGCAACGATGTCTTCTACCTGCAGCCCGAACGGTCATGCATCGCCGAGTCCCCGCTCTGGTACTCGGTCATCCCCATG